ATTTTGAGCACAACTGTATATGTAAAACTGAATTAATTGTTTAAATTGATGGATAATCTTCAAATTTGTTATACCCTGTAAAAAGGGTATATTAGGTTTGTGCAAAGTATGTAACATGCAGAAGGAAGCATCTCCGACCCCATAAAGTATATATATTCTGAATCAGCATGACGAGAGAAATCGATCTAGACATGTCCGTCCGTCTGTCTGGATGAACGCAAGGATCTCAGAAACTATAAAAGCAGAGAAAGAACGAGTTTATTTTATTTTTTGGAATTTTTGCAAACAAAAATATTGTTCGATTTTACCTCTCTCGGTATCGAACTCACGTAAAGGGTGTATAATTGCACATTTACAAATCAATTGCGGCTATGTGAGTGTATGTATTATGTCGGTATGTAAATATTGAATAACTTTGTCATTAGTGAACCGATTGACTTGAGTAGACCAGTGTTGAAAACCTCAGTTCAGCACAATTTTAATCATGAATCGCTTCACTCCGAAAGAACGCGCTGAAATAGTGACGCTTAACATTGAAAAGAGTCGTTCAGTTATGCTAACTCAACATGCATATCGTCGAAAATATCGCGACAAACAGGCATCATCTGACAACACTATTCGTCGTTTGTTTTCAAATTTTGTTGAGCACGGGACAGTGGGAGATCGTCCACATGTTGTTCATCAACGACCAAGACGTTCCAATGAACTGATTGAAATGCCCAGGACCCAAATGTGTCGTATCGCCACCGTGCTCAGCATTTTAACGTCAGTGGAACCACATTTTAAAGGACGATTTGCATTTGTTTCCGTATAAAGTGCAATTAACTCAAAGAATTTTGCCGACAGACTGTCCACTTCGCTTGGAATACGGCCAAACAGTTGCTCGAATGGTTGACACTGAACCTGATTTTTGGAAGCAAATTTTGATGACTGACGAGGCCCATTTCACACTCTCTGGCGGCGTTAACAAGCAAAATTGCCGCATTTGGGGAACGGAAAATCCACACGAGATTCATGAAACACCATTGCATGATCAAAAAGTGACTGTTTGGGCCAGTGTCTGCGCCAAAACCATCATTGGGCCATTTTTCTTCAAAGAAGGCGAAACAGTTGATGGGAATCGATATCGGTGGATGTTGGCTCATTATGTCTGCCCGCAAATGCGTGAAAAAGGCCTGAATGGTTACTGGTTTCAACAAAACGGTGCGCCATGCCATACTGCAAATAAAACAATTCAGTTTTTACAACAAAAATTCCCTGGACGTCTGGTATCAAAAAAAGGCCATTGGCCACCCAGATCTCCAGATTTGACTCCTCCGGACTTATTTTTGTGGGGATATTTGAAAAGCAAAGTTTACGACAGCAAGCCTCAAACCATTGACGAGCTCAAGGCAAATATTCGTGCAGAAATCATCGCTATACCACCTGAGATGCTAGAAAAAGTGATGGAAAACGCAGCAAAAAGGGCACATTTTGCTGTGTCCAATAAAGGCGGCCACTTGATTGATGTTGTTTTCAAAAATTAGTCTGAAGAAATTGTACAGAACCAAATTAAATAAAAATATCTCATACTTGAAAATCGGTTGTTTGTTTTCAAAGATATTCAATGTTTACATACCGACATAAAAGATGGCGCACCCTGTATGTCTATGCGCGTCTATTCATGTCTGTGTAAACATGTTTGCAGTCAGCCAAAGCCCCAGCATCAACAACAGCTGCAGGTAGCGTTTGGGCAGCAAATATGGCTATAATTTCTTGTTAAATCGGTCTATCATAGTGAAACTTGGCATACGGACACACAAGCACTAACTGGGGGTATTTGCAAAATTTGCAAAAATTACGGGAGTTAAGATTTGCGGGGGAGAGCGGGGAGGGAGGGAAATTCCAAAATACACATTTTCTGCGTATTCACATAAGGCATCTTGGACTCAAATTTGGTCTTATAGTCTCCGAGATATAGGCGATTATACGAATGGAAAATCGGGAAAATCCCCATAGGGGGGAAATGGGGGGAAAATCAAAAAAATAAAACAAACTTGAACAGCGTACACACATAACGCATCTTTGTGCAAAATTTGGTGTCTCTAGCTCTTATAGTCTCTGAAATCCAGGTGTTCATACGGACAGACAGACATAGAACGACTCGTGTTATCATGCTGATCAATAATATATATACTTTGTGGGGTCTGCAACGCTTCCTTCTGTTTGTTACATTTTTCACCTCGAAGAAACCTAATATACTCTTGTACATGTACATTTCAAGTACAAAGTTTAAAAATTAAAAACAATTTTTTGATCGAATTTACCTCCCTCGGTATTCGAACTGACGTAAAGGGTGTATAATTGCACAATTACATATATACGTCATCAGTTTAACACACATACATCAGCCAAATACAAGTATAATTGCTTCTGATTTTGGTTTATATTTTTCTCACCTTTGTATGCACTATCACTGACAAAGAGAACGTGTGATAACAATATACCGTTATATGGTTTTTACTATTTTCTTTTCTTTTCAATCGAAAAGGGTGCTTCATTTGTGCGTCATCGGGTTAGCACATGCAATTGGCTTTTCATTTATTGCTCAAGTTTTCTTTAATACACTGCCATGCACTTGAATAGGGACAAGATTTTCTAGCACTTGTATTGTGTTTTTCCTTTTTTTGACAAAAGCTGCCCTCAAATGCTTTGGTGTTGCAGCGGGGAGGCGGGAAAATCAGAAAAATAAAATAAACTCGTATAGACTAGGGACTAGGAGCAAAAACATCGATAATCGATCAAAAATCGTAAGGCTCGTTTAGAAAATGCCTATAAATATAAAGACAAGGACTTCGATTTTTGAGATAAAGTTTTGTTCACCGATGAATCAATGTTTAATATGTTGGAGGTAATGTCACCGTTTGGAGACCTATTGCTGTGTCGAGTAGGAAATTTTGTTTTTATCACGGGCAATATGGATCGATTTGACTTAAAGAATACATTGGAACAAAATTTAAATGAAGTGGTCGATGGTTGTACTAAAAGGACATCAACCCAAAACGTACGGATTACGTTGTCAGGGATCGGTTACTCTACAATGCACCACGACAATTGAATATTCCACCGTAAAGCCCGGATTTGAACAATATTGAAAACATATGGGAGCTTTTAGACCGGAAGCTGATGAAATATGACGTAACCAGTTTGCTTTGCAGGTTATAACACCTGGAGAACAGCGAAATCTGGTGGTCAATGCCGAGGCGACTTCAGGCCGCCATGGAAGCACATGGGGGGTCCTACTAAATATTAAAATACTTGTAAATATTATGTGGAGGTCAAGTGCTCAAATCTCAGAATTTTTACGAATACTAACGAATGCTTACGTCGTACATACATGGATTTTCATTTATATCTTTGTTCGGATATATCTTAAGTTTAAGAATTTTCTTCTGAAATACTCTGTACATATGTTTACAATATTTATAGAAAATAAAAAAAATTAAGAAAATTAAAAAAAAAAATTTGATCGATTTTACCTCTCTTGGTATTCGAACTCACGTAAAGGGTGTATAATTGCACATTTACATAGCAATTTCGTTTGTGTGAGTGTATGTATGCGCATCTTTTCGTGTCTGTGTAAACATGTGTGCAGTCAACCAAAGCACCAGCATCAACAACAGCCGCGGGCAGCGCTGCAGCAGCGCAAACTTGCACAGCGTACACACATAAGGCATCTTTGTGCAAAATTTGGTGTCTCTATCTTTTATAGTCTCTGAGATCCAGGTGTCCATACAGACGGACAGACAGGCAGACATTTTTCAGCTCCCGCAAACCTAATATACTCTTGTACATTTCACGTACAGAGTATAAAAAGCATCATTAGTTTTTCAATAAATACCTTTGGTTCTGCCAGGTAGCAAAATTGGGTCGTATTAGCCTTTTCGCGCCCACTGTATATCGTTTAAAAGTATTACACACCTAAAATTATGTTTAGTTTAAATTAATGTTTAAAAAGGCTTCACCTTTTTTTATATTTTTGAAATGTAGGATACCTTTTTATACCTTTAAGCAAAGGGTGAAAGGCTATACTAGTTTTGTGCGAGTGTATCTAACAGGCAGAAGGAAGCGTGGCAGGCCCAAGAAAGGGTCTGATCAGGGTGACAAGCTGAGTCGATGTACAAGAGCTGGAATGACCAAACTTGGAATCCAGGTTCACCTGAGCCCTAGGCAGGTCAAATTTTTTTTTTATGCTGATACACTCCCCCCCCCCCCCCCCCCCCCCCCATCACATTTCGTTTTTTTTTTTTATAACTTCCGTAATTCTTGGAATTTTGAAATCAATTTTAGTAGTTACATACAGTTAGTGCTTATGTGTCCGTGTGCCAAGTTTCATCATAGGTCAATTCTGAAGAAAGTTATAGCCATAAATAAAATCGCTGCCCATGCTCTGCCCGGAGCTGTTGTTGCTGCTTTGGTTCAACTTTGTGCTGCATACATACACGCATAGACACGATTCTGATGTAAATGTATGCTGTTCATATACATATGTATGTATTGAATAATTTGTATTTAATTTAATTAATAACATTTTTTAAAATTAATTAAACAATTTTTGCATATTGGTGACACAGGGTATTTAAGAGTTGAGCCTTTTTTGTTTTGAAAATACATAATTATATACATATGTACCTATTTAAAAGAGAATATTCTCTTATCAATTTCAAATGTTTGCGCCTTTAAATAAGATGGCACTCTGATCATGTGTGAGAAAAAAGCAACTCAATTAATCTAATTTATGCCCGACCAAGCCCATGACAAAAACCAAGCCGAATGAATCAAAAAATGGCGTCACCAGAGCATATTAGACAGCGACGTGCTCACCCACACAAAGATTCACGTGTAAAAACACCGACAAATACATACATATCTATGTATTAGCAATCAACTTCATTAAATATTACAGGCAGATCAAAAAACAATAGACTTCCTTATTCATGATTTTAGATTTTCACACTCACCTCCTATTCGTAGGTTGCTTTAACTCGAAAATGTTACGTGCTCTCTTGCTCTTGTTATACGCTTCACTGCTGGTACTAAATTGTTGCGACAGCAATGTTGACTATACTCACAGACGGGCAGAAAACTACCACTTTTGACAAGAACGCACGCGTCGCTTTTTATTAAGTTCCCTCTCCACACTTTGCAGTTCGATTGGCGTTTCCAGGTTATTTGTAGGTTCGTAATACAAAATACGCGGAGACTGCTTATATCCAGAAGCTCTCTACGCTAAAAAAATTTCGAAGAGGAAATACAATTACAAATCTTTGACATGCCTATCATGTATATAATACATATGTATGTTTGGATGTATATTTCTTGTGGATACATGCGCTGTGTGCTTTATATTCTACTGAAGACATTTATTTTTGAGCGGCTTACCTATCACATACACGTTTATATAGAACTATCTAACATAAGTGTGTCAGTTAGATTACATACCATGCTGCCTCTAAAAATTTACGAACTACCTTTGTTTTCTGCAACGAGTCATACTGAAAACTCAACATGAAATGATATTAATGCTAGAAGAGAAAAACAACTAGTGTTGCAAAACGTATTAAGGGCGTAACGCCAACATGTGTTTATATGTATACTTCTAAATACATATATACATATTGTATATGTACATACAATACACACATAATATACATAAATAATAAATATATTTTGTTAAAAAAAAAGAGGTCAAACTGGAAATGGTACTCAATTTATATCGACATTAGAGTATGTATATGATTCTATAAATTAAAAACATGCACATATGTTATAAATTACACTGGTTTGATTACGTCACTTGGAAAATGTAGAAGACATCCATTATACATGCATGCTACATAAATACATACATACAAGTAGATTTTTGCGAACACACCCTTAGGAGAGACCGGTAGTGGTATGTTAAATCGATACTTTTCCACACCGAAACACTCACAAAGTTTTTATTATTGGTCGCGAAATTTGGAAGATGTCAAATATACAATACCGGAACAAACGTCTTCATAATTAAAGTATACTCCAACATTAAAACATGATCTTCCAAATCCCTACAACAATTAACTTAAGAACTGCATACAACCCGCTTACCTCTTTGGATATCATTAGACGTGACAAGATATCGACGGCACTTTTGATATAATCGGTTATTTTAAGTCACGAAAACTTTTGGTTAGCTCTTGCAGCACTGTACGTAATTTAACAAAAAATGCAGAGAAAAAACCATATATGAGCGAATTAAAATTAATTTATCAATATTTCTAATGTATTTGGTGACCAATTGGAACAACAGACAACATTACCAGCTGGCTTGGAGGGGAAGTTCGAAAAATGAAATCTTTTGAAGTTCTGTGGCACTGGGAGTTTTCAAAAACAACCACCAGAGTTTTCTGTGGCACCCCTGATAGTTTGCGAAATATAGATGATTTTACAAAACGGCGTTTCCGAAAATCTCCCCTAGGGGTGAAGTGGGGAAAAAATAAAAACATTTAATTTAATTTAAATTTACTCATATAGCGCAGACACATATGGCATCTTTTTGCAATTTGGTGTCTCCTTCTCTTGTAGTCTCTGCGATCCAGGTGGTCATACGGACGGACAGACAAGGCTAGATCGACTCGTCTTATCATGCTGATCAAGAATATACATATATGCTTTGTGGAGTCTGCCACGCCTCCTTTTGCCTGTTACATTATACTCTATACTCACTAATATACTCTTGTACATTTCATGTACAGAGCATAAAAATATAGAAAGAGTCCAAAAAAAAGAGCAGGGACTTGTGACCAAGTACTATGTATAAGCTGGGTTGTTTTCGAAATAAAATTTCGGAAAAAAATTTAAAATTTGCTGGAAGTAGAAAAATTTGCTTGTTAATTTGGTCTGGTCTTTGTAATGTTGGCAATATTTATGTACAAGAAATGGATATAGAGCAAGCATCGCTGAGCCGATTGTTGCTCAGAAAGCAGCAATACCGCAGATGGCTTTCTATTAATAATATTATGTGAAAATGTAAAAACATTTAAAAACATAAAACATATTTAAGCATAAAAACATATATTTTAACGAATCCAATTGGTTTAAAAAAGAAAGCATAAAATGGATGTGCGTTGATCGCTTGACTTGCAAACCGGTTCGTTGTTATGTTCACCATTTAAAATAGCATATTGAACACCTTTGGAAACTGCACCTGGGATACTGGAGCTCTATGAACGTATGTTTTATACTTATGTACACATTTTACGGGCGGCAAAAAACAAGAAAACTCCTGCATGTACGCTATTGATACTAAGATTGTTTTTTTTTTTTTTACCTTGTAAGCAAAAGTAGTACAAATTTTAGGGGATAATCAAAAATTGTGCGGATCAGTTCCATATATCGCAGGCAAACATGAATTAGGGAACATCGATTAATATCGCGCATACCTATTAATGACAACATTGGTGCTATTGTTTAGAAAACTAGTCAGATCAAAATCGGTCTTAAAATATTTGTTTAATCAAATTTTTCAAAATTTAATTAAGTATATTAATATTGTTGTTGTTCATTTATGCCTTATACCAATGATGCCATCGCAGTCAGTTATTTTTAGCTATTGTTAGAATTTTAGCCGCACATGTACATAGAACAACCATCAACAGGCTGCCACATCTACCTAAACCAATGCCTGCGACACCCCATTGACGATATATTTGTAGATACACTTATTATTTGGACCTACGCACGCTCACATTTTAATATAGACCCTTGTATTTCATTAAATAAAAATGTTTTTGGTGACCCCGACGTGATTCTTAACACAGGATCACAACCATTGAGAACTCAATTTTATTGGAAAGTGTTACGTCCGCCTTTGCCAGTGCATCCCCTGTCGTTACGCCGGCTAGCTATAGGCTCAGGGTCAGATTCGCCCGCGACAGGGGTGCGGCGGACCAACAATGCATTTATATTTTTTTTAAACACACCTACTCATATGGTCGGCTGAGGGACGTCTGTGGAATTTGGGTGGAGTTGTGGCTACCTTGATGTCACGTAGCCGCGTGGCCCTCCCTACCTTGAGCCGGTTTCGGCCTTTTCTTGCCGGCTCCCTTTAACATGCTTGCTTTGGTTTTTCTCCTGCTCCGGGACTTTTATCACCCCATCTCACCCCATAAATGGACTGTACTCCAGATTCATGTTCAAATTTTAAATTTTATTACAATAAAAATAGACTTTTATACTTAAGCCATTGAGTTTTGGGACGCTGCAGTTCGTTGGCTCTTCGTGCCTATTTAACTTATTTGAATTCCTAACCTCTTTCTACCTATACTCGAGTATGCGGTTATGAGGGATATTATTAACAGGAGATAAACAGAAAAAACTGCGCCGCTCCAATACACATTACAAACTCCTGTACTTATATTAAATTTCATACATTTTTCTTTTATCTTTTTTTTTTTTTTTTTTTTTTTAAGTATACATTTGAATTTTTGTTTACAATATGGTTACTTGTTTGGTGTTGTGTTTCTGTTTAATGTTTTATATTATGTTGTGATCGTTTGGGCTATGTGTGTAACAGAAAATTGTTAATTATTTTGTGTGTTGTATTGTATTGTTATGTGACTTGTATATGAATGGGTGTGTATTTTGAATTTTGTCTATGGCATACATTCTTTTGGTGTTGTATATTGGAGTTTGTTGTATATAAATGGACTATATAGGGGTGGGCTTTATATAATTATGGGCTTTATATTAAATGGATTATGTGCGTATGGTTGTATATAATTATGGTATTTGCTTGAATGGTACATATGCGTGGGTTTATGGATCGAATATGTATGAGTATGTGGTGTATATAATTTTAAATTGTCTCAGTGGGAGTATTCATATGAACTTAGATTCTAAAGGGGGTACTTAGCCCAGAATCAGTCTCTCGCTTCCAGAACGCAGTTCCTCCGGTACACCCTGTCCGCTTTGGCGGCTTGTCTCGTAGAACGTTGGCGACTTGCTTCTTCGAACGTTGCGACTTGCCCCCACTCTCATTCCCCTAGCCTGGTGGACTGAATAAAGCACCATTAGTACTTGCGCCTGGTTCATTTTCTGTGCCCCTTACCTCGTCTGTCCTTGCGCTCTGCTCCTTTTCCTCTGCGTGTACATCCTGGGTCTAAACTCTCCTTTTCCCCTTTCCTGGATCTCCAATTTGCACCACTGATGTATATATTTTCGGTCACTTTCAACACTTTTCTGCGCCTGAAAATTTTCTGCATGTCACTTCCTTCACTTTCGCTTTCCTTCTGCCCTTGACAAAGGGCACCACTCCTGCCACCTGCCACTCTTCATGGAACCGATAATTTCCCTTCTCCCCGATGCTACTTTCCCCACTTTGCAACCCTCCTAATTGCTAGCACTGGTCCTCGCACCTCACGCACGAGTACTCGGTATCGGCCCGCGCCAGCTGTCAATCGCGCGAGTTGCCATCCCCATTGTCCGACGCCATTTGTGGTTTGCCAATACTGCCGCGTCGCACATAACAAAAGATTGATACACAAGACCACCAATCAATATCTTCGCTGTGCAGCAGTTCTTAGCGTGTTCAAAGCAGCAGCAGAAACCTCAAAGAAGCAAGGTTGACGGAACACTTCCCTCCCCCATCTTCGAAAGCAATTTCAAGCGGGAAATAATAAAGTTGTTACTGCCTTAATGGTCCAGTATTTAACTAAATTTACTAGAACACTAGGAGGTCAAGTCCAGTGCAGTCGCATCAATTGCAACGACGTCCTAACCACCCAGCTGCAAAACAGCGAAGAAGGAAAATAATGCATCATAAGTGGAAGAATATCTCGGGCATCAATGTATCGGCTAAGCAACGACACACAATGAATTATTGCATACGCAACCGTGCATGCAAGGCTGGCACGAAACGGCGGCATTATAAAAAGGGTCAATCAATCAGCGTTTAATTAAGTAGTCCAATAAGTAGACACCTAAGAATAATATGAGGCAAAATTCACTACATAAACCCATACCGGTATCAATAAAATTCAGTGTAAGAATCACAGTGTTCTTAAACTCAACGCTCTCAACCGACTCAAGCAACTAGTATTGTTAAAAGGTAAGCCCGAATAGTATTCTGCTACCAATATGGAAGCTTAAGCTAGTTAAAATTAAAGGGAATACAAAAATTGTCCATAGTATATATATATGCACTGTCGTCTGCGTAGGTTGCTATCAGCACTTTGTCCTCATATAATCTAGTTATTTCTCTCAAAGTAGGCATATCTGCAGTAAATAATTTATGCAGCGAAGGACTGAGAACGCTGCCTTGGGGTCAAAATAAACGCCTTGTGCATTTCACTCCATCAACCTCAGATTAGTGCCGTCTTCCAGATGTTTGGAAAGTGCCTCAGGCTGACTTTGCTATTCATGACCAGAACAATAAACAGGAGAGCTCTCGTGGGGAGAAGTTTCATCGTCCTGTCTAAAAGGTCTTCTCCATACTCTATACATGAAACGTACAGGA